GAAGGGAATTCGGAGAAGGAGGTGCAATTTGTCATGACACCATTCGCACTCTCAAGGTGCTCCCGTTCGTCAAGAAGAAGATGGTCAGGGGGCTGATGAAGGAGAAAGAAGACTTCTACATGGCGGCCAGTGACACAGACGCCGAATACGGCCACATGGCGTTCTGGAACGACAACAAGAAGAAGCTCCCTACGTGGCACGCCTTGGTGTTGGATGTTGCTCTCTTGCAACCATCCTCTGCGTTCATGGAACGAGTGTTTTCCATCCTGCGGTGTTGCTTTAATGAGCGACAAGAAGAGCACGTGTACAGCGACCGTATTTGCGCTTCAGCACTGCTCAAGTACAACAGGGGCCGGGCCCAGAGTAGCTCAGCAGAGATGGAGGGTGGCGCCGAAGATGCCAACAACGGCGGCGGTAGCGACGAAGAAAGCGATGATAGCAGCGATGAAGACAGCGACTGACGACCTATGTTTCAGTGTTTCAGTTAATTTATCTTGATCATCATGTATGTATGTAGATCTAAGATGTCTTACGTCGTAGGTGGGTCAGAACCTGTCGAGATTTACAGTTTTTTTCCCGCACGTAGGGCGGGCGTGCGGTGTGCGGTGGTGGTGCGGTTCGTAACTTCGTAACTTCGAAGTCCATCGTATCGTATTTCATTTTTTGTTCGAATTCTGAGGGTTCGGAGTATTGCATGTTTGTAGTGTTGTAGTGTTGTCATGTCAAGCATCATGGCAGTAGAGTGTGGAGTCAAGCATCATGGCGGTAGAAAAATATGAAAAGGACACATTATTTCGCCTATCGCCGACAGGTGATCTCCGCAGCAGTCGACCAGCCTCGCGACCAGCTCGTTTGTGTTACTAGAAGTACATGCATACGTCGCGAAAGTCGCTGAGATGAAGTAAATCGCGAAAGATACCAGCCGAAAAAAATCGCCGAAAGTGAAACACGACTCACCGAGAAACGATATGCAGTCGCCGAACGTCGCCGAAAACAAAAGCCGATCACCAATTTTTTTCGCCGAAAAAAAAAAGGGGAAACGCCGGAAAAAAAAGAAAAAGATCGCCTATCGAGCAAAAGCCTATGTATAATAATAAAAATATTTCTTTCTTTCACCCGCCGGCCCCTTCCGCACAAAACATGTAATAATGCACGCGCCTCTTGAGTACAGCATTAACATTATGTTTTACATGCAAAGTCGGATACACCACGAAAGTGATGCTAAGTTGAGTCTGGTTATCTGCAGCGGAGATCAGACACATTGCTACAACAGACCACTCGACCGATAATAAAGTAGCCGTCATGGAGACCTCATCATCTATGTTTTTTTTTTCTTTCTGCTGCATACAGCGCAGTACAGCAGCAGCAGTATTTTATTATTACAGCAGCCAGCCGGTTTTCCTCCACTCACTGAAAAGACTCCGCCACATCCCGTTCGACTGTGGGTATATCTCGAATGTGTAGTCTTTCTGTGCGTGTATTTACTTTTTTTTTCCTTTTACTGTGCAGCACCACGGGAATTGATTGATCCCGCGCACGTCGGTTGTGCATACAACATACTGCTGTACGTGGGTTCGAGGGCTGGTCAGCGCAATTGTTATTATCCATTTTTTTCCGATTTTTTCAGCTTTCGACATTTTTTCCGCTGTTTTTATTTTATTGTTCCTGTGTTACAACGAGCTCATTTATTGTTTCCTCCCGGCGGTCGGAACACCCAAACAAGTTGTATTTTTCCAAGAACAACCGGTGGGCTGAAACAACCACAAAAAAAAAGGCTGTGGTGAACAGCATTCATTTTTGTCGCTTGGGCGGCGGTGAACGGAAAACGGCCCAAAAATAGACGCGATCTGCTCTTTCTATGGAGAGAAGACATTTGTAACCGGGGGTATAACCGTGGGAGAGGACGTTTGGAAGACATTATTATTACATACAGTTTACTTTTTTAATCCCCGGCGACAAATACCTACCGGGTACCATTCATGTTTTGGTAGTATTTACGCAACCAATCGTTAATTTGCGACCGCGGCCACTTGGTTACCGATCATCGTTGCTATAGTCTATCCCGAACTCTTGCTCTGTGAACCAGCTAAGAAGGGGGCATTTGTGATACTTGACGTATAAACAGACCTCCAAATAAGCCCCGTATCTACAGGCTTTCTCCCCCAGCCAGTGCAATACGACTCCCCATCCCGAAAGGGTATCAACCACCTGTAGGCTTTCAGTAATTTTGTGAACAAAGAGAAAGAGCCTTCTCAAGATTGCTTAGACGAGTCCCGGCATTGCAGTGTGTTCTCTGTGTGCTGGCATGCATAAAACGAACGAAATAGACGGTTGCCTACCTCGCTACCTTCCAAATGCTAGACGCGGTCCGTCATCCGCCAGCGCCGTGTATTGTGGGGTCACGGTGGTCTACACATCTTTTTCAATGTATTTTTTCGATTTTTCGTTTCACTTCTCTTGCCGTTTGTCGAGCACATTTTTTCATCCGGCTGCGTCTCATACTGGATGAAACACTGATCGTTGTTCCAACTTGCACGGTAGCCACTATTTCCAATACAGAGCATGCGTTAAAAGTCGTTGCCCACAGCAGTAACGTTGTTTTTGAGGCGCCATCGACCAAGTGGGGACGGCAACTCCATCCGCCGAACAGGTCAGATATCTCCTCGGCATCAGAAGAAACAAGTTCCAACACACGTGATGCAAGGATCAACGGTTGTGCCCGCGTTGGCCACGCAATATCAAGGGGAGGAGAGCACACGAGGCCCAAATAAACAACTCCCCTTGCCATCCGCGGATAAGCCAAGGGGAGGGATAGCAAACGCATTCGGTGCCGTGAAACGCTGAGATGGGTGGCATCCGTCAAAGAAAAGATACACCCTGGAAAAACTAAGAGCAGGTGAACGCCAATAAACAACGGTGATGAGGCAACAAAACACGATTCATTTAGTTCCCAATTCTTGAGGAGCGCACCGCTCATTTGTTGAGGGTACCAAATTTACACGCCACTGGCAAGGGTCTGAGGGCTTCAGGAGTGGGCATGCCATATCGTCTGGTGTCCCCACTGCAACGCCCGACACCCATTCTGGTAGGAAACACGGCTGCAACCCAGTGCAACGCATACCTCAGGTGCACGATCTCTCCCACCCACTCCCGTCTCCGCAGCAATGTACCTACCGCCTACGCCCCCGAAATTGTTCTCCCCGCCACCTCCCACCCACGTCCCCGTCTCTGCGATTTTCCTGTCCGCCTTGTGATCTGCCACCAAAATGAAACCGCCCCCGTACGCCCTCTCCTCTTCCCGCTACCACGTCAATGCTCGAACAGGCATCGAGCGCGAGGCAGGTCCGTTACACCTGGGTGTGTACTACGGCATGGGCGATGGGGGTGAGCGGGCGGGGGGGGGGGGGGGGGGGGGGGGGTTGGTTTTCTCTGGGGTGTTCCGCTCTCGATTTGCTCCGAAAAACGGGTTTTTTTTC